GATTGGACACAGCACGAGTTCATCAGCAGGTTACAGCCATTGATTTTGGCTGTATAACTGCTGATTGGCTTTGGCAAATCACAGCACAGAGATCTGTGTATTTGTATACACAACACTGGTTCTGCCTGGATTTCTCCCTATCAGTTACTGTTCAGGCCTGAAGCAAGGAGACCCAGCCAGATCTGCAAGTAAAAGCAGCACACATACTGTACACTTGCATATATTTGTTAAGGACACAGCTTACCCTTTGATTGCCCTCCTGATCACTCCTGTCACCCAGTCAGTGTAATTAGTACAGTACACAGTATTATCACTGAATTAGTGTCACTAGCGATGTAATTTCCAGTTATGAATGAACTTCAAAACGAAGCACTATTCAAGTGAATCTAAAACAAAAAAAAAAAAAAAAATTACACCTTACCAGACTTACATGTGGTGGCTGCATTAGATTTATTTGTATGACTTTTTGTATATTTTTACCCGGTATTTCTGTGAATAACACATTTCCTGCCCTAGGGTGCTTATGCTCATGTACTCCACTATATGAAGAGAGCCATGGTTGTCACCCTAGGATGTTATCCTGATTTGGACTACAAACATACCTTCCTTTTTTAACCACTTGTCCTCCGGAAGATTTACCTCCCTTCATGACCAGGACATTTTTTGCTGTTCGGCACTGCACTATTTCAACTGGTAATTGCACGGTCATGCAATGTTGTACCCAAACGACAATGTCATTTTTTCACACAAATAGACCTTTCTTTTGGTGGTATTTGATCACGTCTCTGGTTTTTAACTTTTTGAGCTATAACCAAAAAAATAAAAAAAAATGAATATCTTGAAAAAAAATATATATTTTTTCACTTTTGGTTCTAAAAAAATATCCAATAAACTCGAGTCATAAATTTAGGCCAAAATGTCTTCTGCTAAATGTCTTTGGTAAAAAAAAATCCCAATACATGTATATTAATTGGTTTGTGTGAAAATTATTGCATCTACAAATTATGGTGTGTGTGTATGTATTTATATATATATATATATATATATATATATATATATATATATTGGAATTTCCACATTCCACAGCTTTTTACATTTCTTGAGGTGCTAAAATGCTGAGGAAGTACCCCCCTCCCCCCCAAAAGGCCCTTTTTTGGAAAGTAGACACCCCAAGGATTTTGCAGAGAGGTATGTTGAGTCCATGAAACATTTTATTTTTTTTTCATTTTTTCCACGGATTTTTTTAAAAATTACAATTTTTTTTTTTTTTTTACACAATGTTGTCACTTAAATGATATATTGCTCCTGCATGCCATGGTTATATGTGGAATAACACCCCAAAACACATTCTTATACTTCACCTGAATATGGGGATACCACATGTGAGAGACTTTTTGACAGCTTAGCTACATACAGGCCCCCAAAATCCAATGACCACCTCCAGTGATTTAAAGGGCATATTTCCTCATATCTCCTAGATTGTAAGCTCGAAAGGGTAGGGCCCTCTAACCCCTTGTGTGCTGTTTGTTGTTGCTGTACTGTTTCATGTATTGTCCCCCCCCCCCCTCTATTGTACAGTGCTGAGCAAACCCTTTGCCGCTATATAAACTCGATGTAATAATAATAATAATAATATCACTTCCCCACTATCTATCACAGTTTCTGAGGCTCTAAAATGCCTGAATAGTACAAAAACCCCCCCCCCCCAAGTGACCCCTTTATGGAAAGTAGACACCACAAAGAATTTGATAGGAGGTAAATATTTTACAGATATCATTTTTGTCACAGGGTTTTGAAAAAGAAAAGAAAAGAAAAAATAAATTCTTGTTTTCTTTGTTCGTTTTCCAAAAACATGTGGAAACAAATGGGATCTGCAAAATACTCGCCATGCCTCTTAGCAAATACCTTGGAGTGTCTACTTTCCAAAAAGGGGTCATGTGGAGGGTTGCTTCTACTATCCTTGCATTTCAGGGCCAACATTAGAAGCTTATGCCACATATCACCAAACCTTTTCTGATACTTTTTCTTCACGTGACAAAACTTTTTTTTGCTAGAAAATTACTTTGAACCCCCAAACATTATATATTTTTTTTAAAGCAGAGTCCCTAGAGAATAAAACGGTGGGTGTTGAAATTTTTTACATCACACAGTATTTGCACAGCGATTTTGCACATGAAAATCATTGGGGAAAAATGATTTTTTTTGGAATTTGAATGCACAAAAACACAATATATTGCCCAATTGATTGATAAAATATAAAAGATGATGTTACGCCGAGTAAATAGATACCAAACATGACATGCTTTAAAATTGCGCATGCCTGTGCAATGGCGACAAGGTACATACATTTTTATTATCGATAGGCGACACATTAAAAGCCTTTTCAAGTCATCAATTTATATTTACACAGGAGTTCTAGTGGTAGAATTACTGCCCTCAATCTGACGTTCGTGGTGATACCTCACATGCATGGTACAACCGCTGTTAACATACCGGAATGGAATCAACGCTTGCGCACGCAGGTGCGCGCACGGGGGGGCAAGGGTACTTCTTTTTAAGTTATTTTGATTTTTTTAAAAAAATTTTTACACTGTCCCTTTCATTTTATCACTTTTATTGCTATCACAGGGAATGTAAATATCCCACAGGGAATGTAAATTACTGGGAATGTAAATATCCCTTGTGACTGCAATAGGCATTGACAGATATTCTTTTTTTGAGAAATCTGGGGTCTATTAAACTCTAGATATCTCATCTTCCCCTTACATCATCTGATCTCATCAAGATCAGTGCGATCAGATGCTTGCCCAATTTACAAATGGCGCTGTTTATATCCTGCGAAACTAAAGTGATGAAATGCGTGTAGCTTCCGATTTCTTAGACTATAGAGATGATTGGAGCCATTCTGGTTTCTGATCAGCTCTATTGTCAGCCAGCGGAACTGCCAGCTGCATTCTTGGATTACCCTGCGGGACAGGAGAGCCCAAGAAAACTGTGGAAGGTGGCAGGAGAGGGGCGGGGGGAATGAACCTTCCTGCTGCTTGTAAAAATGATTCAGCAGCTAATTAGCCACTAGGGTTGCTTTTACATGAAAACCGACCGCCAACTAAAAAAAAAAAAAAAAAAAAAAAAAAAAGATACCAGAATGATGCCTGTAGCTGCAAGCATCATTCCGGTATAACCACTCAAAATCCAGCGCCATACCAGTACATTGCTGGTCAATGTTGGGCATATATGAAACAGCAGAGAACATGAGCATATGATGAATTGGGTCTGTGGACCAATATGACCACAATTCATTCTTTTTTTGTAATGCCCATGTTGGGGGTTAGGCCCAACAGAGTTTTAAATTCAGAAACCGTGATAGGTTTCCATGCGAATTGTCTGGCAAGAGCTAAATTTGGGTGGGCGGCGATGTATTGTTGGGTGTATAAATTCCTTGGCCCACAATCAATTGGTACAAATCTTCTGTGAAAAAAAGCAAAGGGGCTAAACGCTAGTGTTAGCAGCGAACGGGGCTGATCCTGCTAACACTGCATTTTTGGGGACACTACACAAAGGAGGCACTAGTATAGTTCTGTTCATGATCATTATATTAATCCATACAAACACTATACTAGTAATGGGGGTGATCAGCGACCTATAGCATGAGTGCGATAGTGTGCGGGCAATCTTACGCTACATGACCCTGGCTGGGAGGGGTGCTAACTGACCCTGATGCTATCTGATGTCGCTAGTGGCAGGAATACAGTGATCAGTGAAAAATTCTATATACTGACACTGTACTAATGGCACTGGCTGGGTGACGTGGCGATCAAGGAGTAATAGGGGTGATCAAAAAGTTAAATGTGCTAATCTAACGTGTGTAAAAAATGTAGTGCTTTTACTCGGTGGAGTGTTTGTTCTTCTCTCACTGGACCAACTGGGGGGGCAGCGGGGGTCGCAGGCGCGTTCACACCCTGAAATAAGAAGCGACATAAGATTACGTCGCTTTGCCCAGAGCTGCTGCTCTCCCACAAAATGTTGGTAATCGGTCGGCAAGTAGTTAAAAAAAAACAAAAACCTTAAAAATGTTTTTTTTTTAAATTCTCAACATGGTATTTTTATTTTATGTTTAATACTTTTAGCAGAATAGTACAATGTTACCATAGTAACATTGTACTACATTGGGGGGGGGGGGGGGGGGGTGATCAGAGATTTTTTTTTAACACTTTGCTTTGCAGGAGAAATAAAGATCATTTTACCTGCAATGAACAGCTTGCTGTCATGAACCTCATTCTTAACAGCTCAAGATAGCAAGATAGTGATGTCATTGGCTGGAGCTGGTCACATGGTACAGGGTGCTGTGATTGTCATGTATCATGTGACAGCTGTGGGCCAATTACAGCTCACTAAGAAGAAAAGCATTGTTAGCTATGCGATCACATGATCACTGGGTCCTGACCACCGGACACAGCAGTTCACGGGTGGGGAGCACTGCTCACTTGCTCGGGTGCGCAGTGCCCCCGTGTTAGTACAACCAAAACAACGTACCTATACAACGCTTTTCCTGTAGCTGCCGCCCTGCCTCAGTACATTGCGGGCGGGTCGGCGGGAAGTGGTTAATCTCCATTACATGAGGGTAAGGGAATTCTTGGTTCATAAAAGATAGCTTGGAAGGAAGATAATATTCTTTGTGGATTACTTTCAACTCAAGTTTAAGTTGCAAGAAAACTTTATTTCTGGAAAGATCAACCAGTATTTGCTGCACTCACTGAAAGTGTTCATTGCATGGAAAATGAAAAAACAAATGCGGCCACCGCAACGAAAAACTGGTTAGCTGCAGTATATTAAATTTCTGTCCTTGGGTTTAGATATCCTTTAAGAAGACATCATAACACAACAATTTCTCATGCAACAATAAAACTCAAATATTTAGGAGAGTAAGTTTCAGAAAGCATTTATTGTAACAGGCTTTTCTATTATCCAACATAGAAATGATATTGTGAAAAGCGGTCTGTTTAGCTTTCATCTTTCTTAGACTTTGGTACAATTTCATTTACTTTTCCAAGATCTCCAAATGACACCGTTGCAGAACCTCTCTTGGCTGGCTTTGCCTGAAAGTACAAAATGAGGGAAAGAAAATATTTCAGGTCTGTTTGCAATTTTCTAGTGCAGCTCTAAAGCTAAATTGAATCACTACACAATCTCATTCTAGCCAATACGTGCATTCAGTCTGATGCTGCTTTAGGCAATGAAACCCAATGAATTCATTTAAACATAAACAGCAATAAATGTTTGCCTTGTTTATTAATGATGAGCATAAAAGCAAGCCTAACCTGACCCAACACTTATTTATTGCTTGATGTCGTAGCGATAGTATACTACAAGATATATTGCAGGTTCTTACTGTCAACACAGGGATACATTATTCATCTAGAGCAAATATATATGTTATGGAAGAAAAAGAATGGATATCAGAATGTGACTTGATTTTTGGCAAGTATTTGATTTTCTAGGGTGTCTTAATAATGTGGGCCTTTATAGTACCGTTTGCATCCCTGCTGTTAGATGTAGTGTTTTAGATGCTCACCAAGAAAGTGTGAATATTCACAAATCCTCCACAGGTACACCACACACTAGCCATTCTCAACCAGGGTTACGTGGGACCAAGGGTTCCTCCTGGGATTGTTAGGGGTTTCTGAAATGGTGGCTGATTGACCTCCCATCTGATGCGGCTTGCATAGTTCCAGGGCCAACGTCACTTTGCAAAGTCAGCATCATGCCAATAATGAGCTCTCTAGCAGTCTGTAAAGATTCATTTATACTTGACCCATTTGGCTGAACAGGTCGTGTTTGGTGGGCAGTACTGTCCGCTGAATGTGAAATTTTTATACAAAGCATCAATGCGCATGTGCACTGCCATCCACTGCCTTTGAAGCTTAAAGGGAAGCAGTTTTTTTAAATTCTGTCTCTCAGAGTGGGAATGCACCTACAATGTGAATTTCAGACCCCTCCATGATTTCTAAGTGGGAGAACTTGCAAAAATCGCAGGGTGTTCAAATACTTCTGTTCCTCACTGTATATGGTATCACTGCGATTGTCAAGAGCTGGAAAATTTATTTGGTGGTAGGTTTTGGTAGTAACAAGAAACACACAGCTAAATAAAAAAAAAGTTTTTTTTTTTTTTTTTTACTATTTTGGGCCAGTTTTCTTTTGACAAAAAAAAAAATAAAAAATCAGGAGATATCCATTATCATTTATCACCAAATGAAAGCCCAATTTGTCCTGAAAAAAACACGGCATAATTCACCTGGATGTACAAAGTAGTTGTGATGATATGTACGGTTTTACTAACACATGTCAAAGTTGCAAAATTGTGCTTAGGCATTTAGATTTGTTTTACCCTTAGGCGTGAAGGGATTAAACTACAAGATCTCTTTAAAGCAGTAGTAATGTCCAGTTTGCAACTTTTACCTACCTATAATAAAGGTTACCTGTAGGTAAAATGAATATCTCCTAAATGTGCACTATTCAGAAGATATTCCAGTGAACAGCATCCAGTGATGACACCAGCGCATGCGCACTGTGCTCTCAATGGACGGTTTGCTAAAGTATGCCATCCATTGAGAGTGCTGAGCTGCGATCATGCGTGGGAGTGATGTCATCGCTGCTCAGCCAAACGACCAAAGCCTGCAAACCCAAAAGGAAGACTGCGTGACGATGGAATCTCTGTCAGTAATGACAGCGTGCCACTGGAGGGATCCGATCTGTAGGCAAGTCTGACATACTGTGCTAGTATGCAGTGCATACTAATATATTATGGCTTAAACCTGCAGGGGGACCATTTTTTTGTTAAGTTTACAACCGCTTTAATAATATTCCATTTTCCGAGCATTACATGAGTACACAAAACCTTTACAGCAGGACAAATCATACATGATCCTCATAACTATTAATAACACTTTAAGATTATGCAAATACAATTCCCTAATTCAAATAAATTCCTCCATTCTATTGTCACTGAATATTTATAGGGTTTACATGAGCAGCTGTTCAGTACACAAAGTCAGTCTGGGAGCTTCTTTATGATCCACGCTCTGCACAAGAAGCCTCAGTGATTACCTGCGATTCATGAGGTTTCCACCCGATCATATAGTATATCTGGAACGTGGCTGGTACAGAGCCATCCTCCTCCCCGTACATCTCTATGGAAAGATGAAATGTGGTTCAAGGACCCGTGTGTGCAGTATCTCAAGACAACAAAGAACAAACTGATTTGCTGCTGTAAAAGTCAAGACATCCGGGCCAAGGCATATATGATTAGGGTTGTTCTGGAGGGAGACACAAAGATGTCCACTCCAGCCAAGGATATTAATTAATCAGAGCTATTTTTGGTCCATATTTTACATTTGCAGAATGCGGTTATATTCTCTTAGATTTTAAGCTCCAAGGAGCAGGGCCCTCCTAACCCTCTTGTATTGAACTGTATTGTTGCTGTATTGTCTCCCGTTATATTGTAAAGCACTGAGCAAACTGTTGGCGCTATATAAATCCTGTATAATAATAATAATAATAATATTCTAGGTTTAACATATACTGATGCACATTAAAACCTAAGTGTAGCTAAAATGTAAAAAAAAAATAAATCAGCATAAGGGACAGTATTAAACATTTAATTAAAAGTGTTCTTTATGCTGGTGTCGGCTGTCATACTAATAATTCACTGCCCCCCTCCTATACCCTGCAGCTGTAATCTTCTGGTGCTGTGGGACTTAATAGAGCCGAGAGAGCTGCCACAGGCACTCATCAAGAGTATTCCCATTCTTTCCACTCCATCTTGTGCACTTTCATAAGCAATAAAAAGAGTTTCTGTCTTCTCTGTATTTAAAATAGGAATGTTATTGCTCTGTCCCTATTGTAAAGATATGCCCCCAATTTCTACTTATGGACCCAGACAGGTACCCGCTCCCACTTCTGGTCCAATCGCCTAGGCAATCGGAAGCGGAAGTTGTCCTCCCTTCCTGTAGTCTTTTGGGACACGTGACAGGTACCAGAAGGCTACAGGACCATTCAGGAAGCGCAGCGCTACTCGCGCATTCGCAGTGGGTAACCAGCTGTGATAGCTTGCGGCACACAGTGCCCACACTGAAGATGCCGGCCTCCTGGAATACAGGATGGCCAGTGAAACGAGCTGCGACGGACACACCATGGGACCAAGGGACAGGTAAGTGGCTGTTTTTCAAAAGTCAGCAGATACAGTTTTTGTAGCTGTTGACTTTCATTTTTTGATAGGTTGAGTGGAACTCCGCTTTAAAAACCTGTCAGAGATTCTTATCCATCCAAAAAATGCTTTAGCTTGAGTTCCATTTTACACCTACTTGGCATAAAGAAAACACACATCAGGCTAAAGTCTATAGCGATCAGCTTGTTTCCAGTGAAGAAAAAACGCATCCAAGAGATGTTTGGACTTTGATGTGAGTTCACACAAGGTAGCAAGAGGACAAAAACATTTGTCCTCACTGGCTCAGGTAGGCTGCTCACAACAGACAGGGCTACCCCTCCCAGGGGGTAAAATGGAAGGAGTGCCAGACCAAATAATAAAAGAGTCCAAACTATTTTATTGGTTTATGCTACACAAAAAATGCAATATGGGGGCCAGAAGAAACTCCCCCCTTCATCAAGGCTATGCAACGACACTAATTGCTGGACTAGGAGAATTACTAGCCAGCAGAATCTGTATGAGCAATCAAGATAAAATGCATGCAGATGCTGCTGGCTAGTGACTCTACTAGTCCAGCAATTAGCTCATAATCTTGAAGAAAGAGTTTCTTCTGGCCCCAGAAACGCATTGCATGTTTTTTTTTAGTGTAAACCAGAGGTCTCCAAACAAAGGCCGGTTTACTGTCCTTCAGGCTTTAGGAGTGTCCGACTGTGACCTGTGAGAATAGAAAATGCCCTGGTGGCAGTGGGCGTAAACATTCTTGGTATCAGTGGGAGGAATAGTGCCCTATCACTGGCATCAGTGGGAGGAATAAAGCCCCATCACTGGCATCAGTGGGAGGAATAGTGCCCCGTCAATGGTATCAGTGGGAGGAATAGTGCCCCGTCAATGGTATCAGTGGGAGGAATAGTGCCCCGTCAATGGTATCAGTGGGAGGAATAGTGCCCCATCAATGGTATCAGTGGAAGGAATAGTGCCCCATCACTGGTGTCAGTGGGAGGAATGGTGCCTCATCAATGGTGTCAGAAGTAGGAATAGCACTCAGAAAGCTGAATAAAGGCAAGCAAAGGGCAACATCCAGCCCCCAGACCTCAGTTTGGAGAACAATGGTGTAAACCAATAAACTAATTTGGGTTAATTTGGCCTGGAGCTCCTTCCATTGGTGCATCTTTCAGTAATTACCAGCATGCTCATTCAGGATCTGAATGATTCTGAAGCCATACACTGCTTAGTTTCACCTATTATGTCAAATATAGGGTCATTCCTTGTGACGGAAAGGTGATAACAAAAAAAAAAATACCTGCAAAGGAAAACAGAGTTATACAAGGATATCATGTCACCTTGGTATATGGCTGCAGCTGCTATCATTGAATCCCTGTGCAGCAAGCATCTTCTGTTCAAAGCGCAATTACTCTCTCCCATACCTAAAACACAAATACAATGCAGATTACCATAGCTGTAAGGGTAGATTTAGATGTGTAGCTAGCCACCCACTGATCGCTATTTGTCGGATAGATTTTGCCATGGGTGCAGAGTAAACACCCTAGCCTGCTGCTTAAGGGGGGCATCAGAAACGAATAACTTATATGTAAAATTTTATTTACACCAGACTAAAAAAAGAAGTAAAAAAATGGTCTTTTTTTTTTTCCCATTCTTTTTACTACTGAACAAAATATAACAAAAAAAAAAAAACAACAATGCATTTACTTTCAAATACTGGTGCAGGATTTCTCTTACTAGTATATGAGAGACAAAGTTTTGGGCAGCAGACTCTGTAGCATCTGGTCTTCAAATCTGCTCTATTGTCTGGAGAAATGTCTCCAGACTTCAGAGGTACCGCATGCAGGTCACTCATCCATAGACAAGCCCTGCTATGTCAGTGCAGCCAGACATTCACTGCACAGATCTAATTATATCCTGACATTCGGTGTCATTTACACAACAGAGAAAGCAGGCATTTACCATACAAAATATATACTTGCCTTGCAAATCTTTCATTAGTTCGAACATTCCAGGATAGTGAACCTGAATTTCATCCGTATCCTGCAGAAGCAAGAAAAAAGGAGCGAATTACATAACTACAAATGGAGGGACTGAATATATGGCTCTATTTTATTCCATGTCACATCATAGCAGTAAGTGTAAAACAATTTCCTGCTGCTTTGTCTTTAGGAATTATGATCTGGGCTTTGCAGATTGCAGGTGATGAGACAGCCAGCTATATAAATTTATAGATGTGCCATCAAAATCATTTTGACCCTATAAAAAGAAAAAAAGGAGAGACCAAAGAGAAGTTAAAACGAAATATTAAATTCCGGCTTTAAAAGGAATATTTCACTAAAAAGAATACTTAAAACTGAAGTCCAGGAATCTACTTCTTGGAAATACCCCAAGTTAAAAAAAAAAGTTAACTCTAAGGTCTCATTTGCATCTGTGTTGATCTGTGAAAAGCAATCCACTGTGGATCACTTTTTACAGAGCGACATGGTAGCAGCTGACAGTCATTCAAGAGGTGATACTGCCGCCTGCTGAATGCCAATTTTTTTGTTACAGCTGAGCAGGGATTTTTGAATGGGAATAATGTGCCACATGGTGAGAACCTTGTGTTAGGCTCATGGTTGTGATGCAGCCCCATTCACTTGAATGGGTTGTGTTCAGCATCCTTACTGCCCGCCAAACATGATTGGGGTTATAATGATTGTGATGGAAAGCACTGTAGAACCGGCATGTGTACAACTTTGTCCAGCTACCTTTGCAGTGTAAGGAAGTGGTAAAACCAAGGCTTTAAACCCTCTACATTTACGGCCACCCAACCACAAGAGTAAACTAGGTCTAATTAAGACTATGCTCATTCCACATGGCTGCTGCTTACTGCATAAATCATAGCTGTTCTGAAGAAATATCCTACATACAACACTATACTTCCAGCAATGAGAGGATGAAGAGCTGCAGCTATGACCGTGAAGAGCTCCCATTTTTTATCCTTTCTTTCCTCTCAGCTCATCCTTGTATTTTTTTTTTTTTTTTTACTGAACACAAGGAGTTTTATGAATGGACCAGGGGAGAAGGGGAGGGTGAATGATGGGAGCTCTTCACCATCACACCCACAGCTCTTCATCCCTGCAGTACTGAAGGTATAGCATTATAAAGAGGAGTGTTATTGACTTGCCAGGTCTACAAAAACAATTTCCTGGAGATCAGCTTTAAGCATACAACAGCCCACTAATTAGATAAGGAAGACAGGCCCACACACGATTCATTTTCTTTCGTTCATCCAGCGGGAAAAAAAAAAATGAACTGAATCACCAAACCACACATTCAATGTGGATGGGGGAATTACTCCTGCTGATCCATTGTATTCCGTCGGCATGGATCCCTCCCCACTGGCAGAAAACAATGATTAATGCTGCCGGCTATAGCTGGCAGCACTGATCGTTCGGAAAAAACCCAACAGGCTGGTTGTATACAAGTCAATCGATAGATCAGTAGTCAATATACACAGCAGAGATGAAAGTTCCTAACTCTGTTACTTTATACTGTACAACCAAATTTTAATATTGATTGTAGCTGGGAAACTAGGATTTTAGCATAAAGTTTAAAATTTGTATTGAGCAAAGAGATGGAGCGATACCTTCCATAGGAAGAAGAATCTTTGCCCTCCTGTAGGATGACGGAGTGCCCTGACAGATTCTGGTGGAAAGCATAAAGAGAAGCTCAGGGAGTTTAGGGCATTTAGGAAATGTGACATAAGGGATGGCATGAGCAGTTTTATTATTTATTTTGGAGGTAAAGCCATTAGGACCGGAAGACTAATTTAGCTGAGCTCACGGCTGCTAGAATCTTCTCTGCTGATATAGGAGCTTTGAGTTCTGATAAGTGAGATAAATCTATCTTCGATAACAAGATGATGAAAAATTATAACTATTCAGTTATAACCAAATTGTAATAAAAGACTCGAAACACGAAAAAAAAATTCAAGCCTTAATTCAAATAAGCAAGCAAACTCTATGTACCAATCTTCTTTACAACACCATGGTCTTATTTCACATGTGGCAGGATTTGCTCAAAAGAGAAGTGCGGGTTTTGAAAAAACAAACAAATGTTCATACTCATCTAGGTAGATGCAGCATTGATCCAATTCTGCATCTGTCCCCTGCCGCCTGAACACCGAGAACTGAGTGATCAAAGACTGCTGATCGCTCAGTTCTCAGGTCCGCTCTGAGCAGAGAGCGGTGACTCTCAGTCACCTGCTCTCTGCTCTGCCATTCCAGCACTCACTGGAGCGCTGGGATGTGGAGGAGGAGGGAGGGGCTGGCTCAGCCTCTCAGTGGTGCTGAGAGGCTGAGCCAGCTGTTGGTCCAGGCATCTAGGCAGATCCTGACATTAAAGTTGGGATCCCTCCAAAGTCTGCACCCGCTGAGTGATGTCAGGCAACAGCGAAATTTAGCCTGCTGTCGGCTGAATACAAGTCACAGGAGTGCAGAACAAAGTACACTCCTGTGACCTATAGGAAAAGTAGGATCAAAAGAGCATTAACCCTACTTCTCCTTTAACAAGAGAAATGTCAAATATCACTGTTAAGAACATATGAAGTATATGTGCACAAGACATATTTAGTCTATAGTAAACAGTGTAATGGCGGCCTGTTCAACAGACCATTGTGCCACTCTGGTAAACATCAAGTCTTTACCACATACTGTATAATGGTCTTCCAACTTGCTTGGCATTAATCATGTGTTTATGGCTTTTGTCTATCAGATGAACTACATGAGAAGCAGTGACATGTTCTGAAGCTGTAGTACCTGTTCACATATATATGCGGATTGGGTGCAGTTTGAACTGCATCCAACTGCATGACATGTGAAAAAACATTGCTTCCTATGGTACCTGTTCATATATGTTGGGGTGCGGATTCAGGTTTTAAAAAGATACATGTCTGATTTCTGAGCAGTGCGGTCCGGTTCAGGTGCGGATTACAGACTATTGACTTCTATGGGAACCAATCCTAAACTGCATATGTGTGAACAAGATAAGATCTTGAGCTAATCCTGTCCTGAACCTGATGCAAACCTGACCTGAACCACTGAACAACTACTGTGTCAATTAGCAGTGAAACCTGAGCTTTAATCTGCACCGCATATGTGAGAATCAGCTCGCAGAGACCAGTGGCTGGTCGCTAGACTTTGCCTTTCTCTTGCCTATAGATGGGCACAAGTGTATCTAAAGCCAAACATTTTATTGACAAGGGAGAGAGGGAAGGAGGAACACTAAGTGCAGTATGGTAAAAAAAAAAGAAGGTTAATGACAAACAGTAGAAATGCATTCACAGGACTAAATAAAGATGAAGCATATCTGCATATCTGAAACATTTTTTTACTTTGAATGTATTATTTAATATTATTTTTTTAAAAAGGATTGCAACAGTCCGGTGATATCTACAAGCCAAATATAGATTTTGCCTGCAGATTTCAGAACACTGAATTGCTTATTAGTTGTAAGATACAATACATACAATAAAACATGTACACAGTGAAACTATCAAAGAACAGGTTTTGAGGATGCATACTTTCCAGTATGAAAATGAGCCAACTGAATACCTTACAACAACCATGATATACTTAAAATGATTCTATCATTTTGGTTAAAAGTAAGGGCTTCTTCACAAATGTGGTAGTGACTGCTCTTCTGAAAAACGATCCACACTCGGATTGCTTTTTAGAGGTTTTGCCAGGCATTGAGGAGAGGTTTTAACACCTGTCTACCAGTCTTTCTGTTAATTTGATTTCCTTTGTCCAATAAAGACATGTGCACTGTTCCAGAAAAAATGAAAACTGCAGCTGCTGACAATGAAATTGTAAAATTCTCGCATTTTATCCATATTCCCAGCAGGTAGATAATAACTAGTGCAAAACTCTGAAAAACTCCGAAGAACCAGCAAACATCCTAGTCATCATACTCCTACTGCAAGCAGATAGCACCACCTGTTTTTCATGTGTGGAAGTGCAAGTGATGGACAGCTTCATGCTACTTTATGCATCTTAAAATAAAATCTCCCATTACAAATACAATGTTATGTGAGGGAGGTTGTTCAATTAAAGAACCCGGATGGGTAACAACCCTCTCACTTCTACTAGAATGCCTCTTGTCTAGAAGGCATAGAATCCATTCAGTGATAGAGAAGGCATTCAGATGCTTTTGTGTACATATTTTTCTGCAGACAGTTATAAGGTGTTTGTTTAGCAACCAATCGTTGTTTGCGAAATTACATTATGGTGGTAAATGTGTGCATGAAACTTTTGAAAAATGCCAAAGCATGACAAGTCTGTTATAAATGTGTAAAGAAGTGGCTAAATGGTTAGCACTTCCGCCTGGCAGTACTAGGGTCGTTGGTTCAAATCCCAGCCACGGCACCTCCTGCCTGGAGTTTGGATGTTCTCCCTGTGCCTGCGTGGGTTTCCTCCGGGTACTCTGGTTTCCTCCCACACTCCAAAGAAATGCTGGTAGGTTAATTGGATCCTGTCTAAATTGACCCTAGTATGTATGTATGAATGTGAGTTAGTGACCTTAGATTGTACGCCCCTTGAGGGTTAGGGACTGATGTCAATGTACAATATACAGTGGGGCAAAAAAGTATTTAGTCAGCCACCAATTGTGCAAGTTCTCCCACTTAAAAAGATGAGAGAGGCCTTTAATTGGCATCATAGGTAGACCTCGACTATGAGAGACAAAATGAGAAAAAAAATCCAGACAATCACATTGGCTGATTTGGAAAGAATGTATTTGCAAATTATGGTGGAAAATAAGTATTTGGTCACCTACAAACAAGCAAGATTTCTGGCTCTCACAGACCTGTACCTTCTTCTTTAAGAGGCTCCTCTGTCCTGCACTCGTTACCTGTATCAATGGCACCTGTTTGAACTTGTTATCAGTATAAAAGACAACTGTCCACAACCTCAAACAGTCACACTCCAAACTCCACTATGGTGAAGACCAAAGAGCTGTCGAAGTGTGAGGGATCCCCTCGATCCCCGCCGCGATGGTCC